GTCATTTCTGAAACTCATGACATAATTCCACTGCATTTTAAAATGTCTGTATAATATTTACCAACAGTCCTCAACATTAACACAATTTATAAAAGCTTTTCTTGTATAATTGGTATAAAAATGCTTTATTATAAGAGTTGAGCTGCTAATCCAAAGGCTGGGATTCTTTTTTTTTTTTTCTTTCTTTTCTTCTCCCTGCCTCTTTTTAAACAGTCCCTCCGTAAGGACTATCCACTTAGCTTTGTATCCAAAGACGAAATTTGTAGGTGAAATGAGTTAGGAGTTAGCCTTCGTTACAGACTGGTTCATTTCAGGGTCGAAAATATGGAACGCTTCACGAATTTGCGTGTCATCCTTGCGCAGGGGCCATGCTAATCTTCTCTGTATTGTTCCAATTTTAGTATATGTGCTGCCGAAGCGAGCACAAGGCTGGGATTCTTTGGTGGTTTGAAGCCACCACGGGCTCCTTGGGATAAAGAAGGGCAATCTCCTCTAGCATAAACACATTTTCTCATCTGAAAATGAGGATAATCATATGGCCTCAGAGTATCTGCTGGAGGATCAGTTATGAGTTGAAATAAAATTTATGGCAACAGTTACAAGTTTGAACACTTCCGTTTAAGTAAACTGTACTTTTGGGAATTGTCTGTTGAAAAAGGAATTGACATCAGTGGTATTTATCATAAGCAAGATAGCATGCTAAACATTTTGCATACTTCACCTCTCTTCATTTTTGCAACCATCTCGAGATACATATGATTATCACCATTTTCAGATAAAAAATACTTTTAAAGATATTAAAGGTCTTGCCCAAAGTCACATAAATGTCATAGATGTAAGAATTCAGATTTGTCAGATCTGAGAAATATGTTGCTGCAAATATACTTTAGGAATCCAGCTTTGGGACACCTTTTGAAACACATAGTCTAGAGGAGAATTAGAAGAAGGAAGTGCCTTAAACGTAAGACCGTACAAAATGTGGGCAATGGAATTAAGGCTTTAAACTGCTCGAGTCAATTAAGTGAACCCAGAATAGAACCAAGTTTTTTAAATGTTGGTGAAACAGAACACCAAGAAGCCCTACTAGAACCAAAATCTCTCTTAAAAAAACAAAGGTATCTTGTGCATTAAATTGCAACCAAAGCTCTCGATCAGCTGAGTTAAAAACAACAGTGTCCAGCTCAGAGCTCGCAGACTGCTGCAGAGTTTGAATGTGACCCTCTCCACAGTCCAGGTAATAAGCCAGTGCCATATATCTATCTCTTCCGGGTCTTTTATCCAATAGTTGTTTTGAACCACTTAACTGAAAAGACTTGGATGTGTTCCACGCCCACTGTGCTGGCTAAGACTGAACCACTGTGCAGCCTGGAAGGAATAAGGGTGTATGGGACCAATAGAAGTGTGTGAACCGGTAAATGACAGCTATTTCTGAAAATGGGGAGTTTAGTGTCCTTCTGAGTAAAACAAGATGACAGAAGTGATATGATTACGATTTTAACTCGTCACCCCACCCCTAAGATGGAAATAGTCTGTTCGGTGAAATTCTGGGCTCCAGTCCCTGAAAAGCTAGATCCTAGAAAGTACTTTCTAAGGTTTCCTCTCTCGAGAGGAATAAATCTGTAAACCAGTAAAAGCCCTGCTCCTTCTCTCTTAAAACGCCTCTCCAGGTGAGAGACCTTGGGGTTTCTCAGGTGGGACCCCTGCGGACGAGAGGATCCGGCTTACGGAAATGAGAAGCCCCAGCTGACAAGCATCCACTGCGAATCCGACACCCGCGAGCGGAAAACAGCACCCCCGGCCCGAGCCTAAAGCTCCACCCGCACACCCGCCCTCCCGGGGCCAGCCCACGAGCGTTACCTGCGAAGCCAGGCCCAGCCGCACAGACCTCCCCGCGAGCCGCCGCGCCCCACGTCGCGGTCCTCCGCCCGCCCACCCCAGCGACTCCGCCGCGCACGGCCGCACCCGCTGCGCAAGCGCAGGGCCTCCCACCACCGAGAACTGGCGCATCCTGTGGCTAGAGTGGCGGGCTGCTTTGATAAGTCCATCTGGGAAAAGCTCGCCTGAAGGCAAGCATTTTCCACGCTGGGACCAGAGCCGAGCGACTGCTCTATTTTCTGATATCTCACCTTTCTACTTAAAAAAACAAAAAACAAAAAACTAACACGGGGAAAACCACTCCAAATTATTGCAATGGAATCCATTCGGACTTTTAACACTATTAGAATGACCCAATAGTTTCCACAGTGCTGTAATCTTTACTAGTGTAAACTGGCAAGTCTTGTCTCCTTCGAAAAGGCAGATGGATTAATGTTTTGGTTAGCTAACGTGCACTGTAGCGAGCTTTGGTGACCTACTGGTGATAAGCTGCGCTGCAATCCCTAAGGCACGAAGGCACACGGTTCAAGGCCACCAGCTGCCACCAGCTGCTCTGGGGAGAAAGATAAGCAATCTCCTGGGGAGAAAGATAAGAAATCTCCTCCCATACGATTAACTGCCTCTGAAAACCCGCCAGAGGATCAGCTATGAGTAAAACAACTATATGGTAAACAACAACGTGTGCGTTATCCACTGCACCGCCAGAGCTCAGCCTAAGGGAGTGGGAAATTCTCTGTTCTACAGAAATGTTACTGGTCAATCGCAGCTGGTAAGGTCAGCATGCTTTAATCCTTAACAATAACAATTACCGTTTTTTACGTAACGTTTTTACGAGTGCTGGACGAAAAGTAAGGCCTTTTTTGTGTGTATTATTCCAGTCTTTCCAAGAGACTTAAACCAGAAACATTTGTTTGAATGATTAGGAGGGTTAGGCATATACAGGATAAAGTCACATAATAAGAAATGGATTTAAGATGCAAACTCAAACTATCTAGCGGGAGAGAGACATCAATGTGCTACCCCTTAATTCTGACAGGTTTCAGAATTAAGGTGTGCTATATTGCCTCTTTCAGGAAATTGTTTTGGATTCCACTCAGAATATAGCACTCTTCATTCTAGAGTGAGAGAAATCATTAGCACGATACTAAGGAATTTACACTGAATCCTAAGCTTTGCTTTCATTTATATTATCTGGAAACAAAACCACCAGATCATAAAATGGTAGCTGTTATAATCCTTCAGTGTTGCAGGTGTGATTCCAAAAGCAGCAAAAGACCACGATTGGGATATGTACACAAGTGCAGATTGAAAAGGTTCACAAATTGCCCAGTCACACTGCTATTTGGTGGTGATAATCATGCCACCCTGAAACACAACCATCAGGTTAGACAAACAATGTGCACTATCTTTATTGTCATTAAGGACATGTCCAGGGAGTTCCCCAGTTCTCTCTGCAAACCACTAGGTTAAGTTGTTCCTCATGAGCTTGCTCAAACTCAAAACTCTCTAGTCGATTCTATTCATGGTGACCCTCCATCAAGTTTCTGAAGCTATAAATCTTTATGAGAGGAAACTGATGAGTTTAAACTGCCAAACATTCTGTTAGAAGCCCAAGATGTAATGTACTATACGACTCCAGAACTTGCCTAAAATAATACTCTACCCTTCCCCTCTATCAGACAGGTAATGTGCTGATTTCATAACGAAGTTTAAGAGTGGCACATGCTGCATAAAAGCATAAACACCCAATTATCATGCTCATAAAGCAGAAAAGGATCTAAAAATAATACTTTACTTTTAATTGCACTTCTTTTGTGGGCAGACTGTCCATCAAAATAGATTTAGAGTTCCACAATAGACTTAAGCATTGCACAAACCAACTGCTTCAGAATTTAAATCCTCATGTAATGCCTGGCAGAGTACTAGGCCCTACTATGATAGCAGTCAACAGAAAATGCAAGCTTCCTCCTTTCTTGGAGTATCTTTTTTTAATAGAAAGGGTAAACAATGTATAATAAAGAATTAAAAATAAGATCATTTTAGATAGTAAAATATACCAGGAAGGAGGGGGTCAGGGAAGAATAAAAAACCAGGCATATGAAAATCATAGTTGAAACAATCATTCATCTACTTAAAAGATAAAGTTTGACCATCTACTCTGTGTCAGGGACTGTTCTGGGATGCTAGGGATACAGCTGTGGACATAACAGAAGAAATCCATGTATGAGTGTCAGTGACAGAGGCAGAAACAAAATAGAGTGTTTTTAAAGTAAGGGACTTAAGACAGGCTCATTTTAATTGCTTAGTCAGGGAAAGTTCTAAGTAGTGGCATTTGAACGGACATGAGTTTTAAAAGGAGTCGCCCTTATTAAGATTTGAGAAAAGTGTGTCACAGGGAGAGTAAACAGCTGGTACAGTGGCGCTAGGGTGGAACAAGCTTGAATATTTTAAAAAAGAGGAAGATGATGCACACCCATGTTTACTG